AGATTTCTTGTCTTTCTGTTTTTGATGTGCAAGGATATTGTCAGTACGGGTGAAAAGAAAGGTCTTTATCTGAAGGTCTTTATTGTCTTTGTTCTTAATCATAGCCAGATTGAGTTTCTTGCTCCATAGTGTATGGCTGGATAAAGCTTAATCTAATAGTGATTTTGTGGAAATAGGATCACTTGTTAAAATACCCTGAACATGATCAGCTACACCACACATCTGTGAACATTATGACTGAACAACAGTAAGAAGAATCACTATGCTCTCTTGGAACCAGAGCCCAATAACACTTGCACACAAGTTCCAATAAGACTTAATCTGAGCTTTTCAAAAAGTTTAAAGAATGGATTTGCTTTTTTCTGATGAATTTTGTGCCCAAATGCCACATTGCAGCACTTTATAGTACTCGATTAAATTTAAATTTCTTGAAATAAAAAACACTTTAGTGGAGTCATACCTGCTGAATAAAAGGGGTGTGATAAGAGTTATAACACTGCTTCTCCAGAGAAACATTTTTGGAAACCTGTTCAGTGAGAGGCACAGCACGTACTGAACAACCACAAAATTAAAAAAATAACAGTTTGCAAAGATCAAGATCGAAAGCTCAGGAGGGGGTCCGCCTGTTTCCGTTTCCTCTGAAAGCTGACAGCTCTAGTATACAATGTTTCAACTAGGGGGTGTTCTTGAAGGAAAGCCAGCACCAGTGCCCAGCACCAGAATCCATCTTTGAGAAACAGAGGGCTGAACTGTCCTGTTGTCTCTGAGAGGAAACTGTGAGGTCAGTGGACAGAGATCATTGCTGAGGGTCCTGCACACTGTGGTAGCAACTTGCTTCAAGCAAGAAAACAGCTCAGGATTGATCTTGGACAGGTCCCGCTTATAATACCAAGTGGTCCCCTAGTGGCAATATCAGGTATGACACTCACCATTGCTTGCATAGAAAGTTAAAATTAACAACTAATAAACTAACATCCGTTATTCCTTAGTGGAAAAAGAATGTAAAAAGCACTGGATGTGTTTCCCCATCACTTACTTAATTTCTTTACAAAAGTGTAAACAGAAAATTGAATTCACATTAAATCACAACACTAGGTGTCGTATGCATTCAAGTAAAAACTGTGCTCTGCTTGTTAATGTCAAATGAATGGCAAAAACATGAGTTAAGAACTCTAAAATTTTAAACCTGTGAGAATCACACCTGAATAGTCACATGATTTAACAAATATAGGACATTTTGCCAAGATCTCCTGAAGGAAACCAAAATTCCTGTAGGTGAGATATTTTAATCCCAGATTTGAACTGACCAAGCAGAACTGTGGCAGACCAGACTTTCTCTATGGCTAATAAATAGAGCAAGAAAGAGACCAGAAATTAGAAGTCAGGACCAGAGGAGCAGGAAGACAAGGAGTGAAGTCCAGAGGGAAGAAAGGAGACAAGGAGTGAAGACCAGAGGGAGCCGGAAGACAAGGAGTGAAGACCAGAGGGAGCCGGAAGACAAGGAGTGAAGACCAGAGGGAGCCTGAAGACAAGAAGTGAAGATCAGAGGAGCAGGAAGACAAGGAGTGAAGACCAGAGGAGCAGGAAGACAAGGAGTGAAGACCAGAGGGAGCCGGAAGACAAGGAGTGAAGACCATGGGAGCAGGAAGACAAGGAGTGAAGACCAGAGGAGCCTGAAGACAAGGAGAGAAGACCAGAGGAGCAGGAAGACAAGGAGTGAAGACCAGAGGAGCCAGGATGCCCAGAAGCAGGAGCAGGAGCAGGAGCTCCACTGGACCAGGGAAGCACAGTCTGATACTCTGCTCCACCTCAGCTGCTGCTCCAGAACAGTCTGGTGTTGGGCATAAAGGCTCACTATCCATCCGGACTTTTCTCTGGGTTCAGTCTTTGAAAATTTGTCCAAAGCCACAGACAAGGCTCCACTTGTCACAGTCTGGAGGAAAAAGCGCCACTGCAACTGGGCTGTGAGGAGACGTCACATGGCTGGACTCTTTTATACTGAGTCTCACAAGGAGAAAAAGCAACAACGCTCTCTCAGTGGCTCAATCGTGTCCAGTGGTTGGAGTCTCTTTCTCTCTCTCCCTCTTTGAGCAGCAGAGCTCAGCTGCAAAGCACTTCCAGCCCTTCATGGCTGCCTCACATCCCTGAAAGGAGGCAAATGTGTAAACACAGTGGAAGCTGGCTGTCAGGTGTCATGACCATGAAGACTACCTGCTAGCTCCACTCAGGTGGAGGCTCAGCTGACCGCCTGTCACAGAGCTGCTCTGATTCCAGCACCGATTATTCATGTCCCAGGTGAAGGTGTCGCTACAGACCTGACTGGCCCTACACCCCAGCTGGCTGAAGGACACGACTGTATTTTGACTCTATCTGGAAGTGATCCTTGTATGAAACACAACCTCAAACAAAATGGCGAAAGACTGTTTCTACTTGCTCAGGGGCCCAACGGAGTAGGATTCCTCTGCCGGCCGCAGGATTCGAACCAGCAACCTTCCAGTTACAGGCGCAGATCCTTAGCCACAGAGCCACCGCTCCGCTCATTACTATAGTAATGAGATATTTTATCTGATTTTCAGGGGGTGATCAAAGTACTGTATATACCGTATATAAAGAGCTTGTTTTCAGTGCATTGAAGAAGAACAGTTTGTGGGGGGGGAAGCAAAATTTTGCTTTAGCACAGAAATGGGAAATGGGAAGCTGATTAACCTGCAGTGCCAGCAGGTCTGTGGCCTGTGGGAGGAAACAGGAGCACCCAGAGAAAACCCACACAGACACATGGAGACCATGCAAACTCCACACAGATAGACCCCAGTGATTGAACCCAGGGCCCCAGCGCTGTGAGGCTGCAGTGCTAACAGGTGCACACCACACCCTTCATTAATGGCAATTTCAGGTGTATGTTTCTGGGATTCGGGCAGAGTGTTGGCATGAATGCTGGGGAGCGGTTTTCTAATACTGTACTGATGGTGTACCTACCTGCGCAGGTAGTAGTATCATCCCAGCTGCTGGGGCCCTGGACCTCTTTCTTTAACTGACTTCTTGTAACTGCAGTCATTTCTGAGAAAAAGACTTCAGCAGCAGGGGGAGTGACTCCTAGGTCAGTATATAAGTGTGAGAAAGTGCAGAGTCGGTCTGAACCACATCCTCAACCTACAGGTGTCCCCACGTTCTCTGTCTTTGGGTGAGTACTAAAACGTCATTTGGAAATTGTTCAGTATATACTGTATGTTAATTAGCACATACATTTTTAAATAGAATATTTTAAATAAAAGGTTATACTTAGGGATGTTTTAAGACAATAATCAGGTAATGGCTATTGGTCTCTTATATGAAGTATTTAAAAAAAACTGCTAGCACGGAATACAGTGTCTTAAAATTGTTGCTAATACCCAGAAAGAAAAAAAAAATAAACTTAGCTTTTTTTTTACCTCCTTCACAATCCTTAGCTCACGATTGATACAGAAGTACTCACACGTTTGTGGTCTGTTTAATTTAATGTGTACAAATAAGTGAGGCATTGATGAGTGGGTCAGAATTTATAACTTTGATTTTATTTCAAAATATTTAGAAACATAACACAATTTTCATTGTTGTGATTTACAATTATAAAACCAAAAAAAATCGCAACTTCATACTGCTGTAGTAGTTATAGTTTGGAAAGCAGAATGGATCTTGAGGGCAGAGACAGACACAATAATGTAATAATGATAATTGGGGCAAAGACATTTTCTCTTTTAGCAGATAAAATACATGCATCTTATTAACTGAAAACACTTTATTAATATAAAATTCACATGTAGGTGTTTTTAATGTAAAGCTGAAGTGTGTGTTTCTGGGATTCAAGCAGGCTGTACCTGCAGGAGCTCTGTGGAGTCGCTCTCCGATAGTGATGTTTCTGGACAAGATTACCTGACTGGTGCTGCAGTCTTGAGAACTAGACCAGTCTGAGGGCTGAAATAGTTTAGGTATCGTAGGTGCACACTTTCACACTTGGTTAAAAAAAAATCTCATAAAATTCCTCCACAAAGCAGATTTTTGTAAGTGAAGCACTGACCTTGCTGGTGTCCAATAGCGAGAGCAGTGTAAGTGTCCGAGGGCTGGTCTAGTGGGGATGGCGTGAGCAGGACGTCTTCACGGGAGTCTTGGATCTGCTGTCAGGGCCGAGTACAGCACCTCTTCCTTCATGTCTCACCCCCAGGACCTGTACAGAACAAGCAGGTTGGCCGATGGAACTCAGGTGCTGTGACTAGATGTCTCAGTCTAGATTTCTTGTCTTTCTGTTTCTGATGTGCAAGGATATTGTCAGTACGGGTGAAAAGAAAGGTCTTTATCTGAAGGTCTTTATTGTCTTTGTTCTCAATCATAGCCAGATTGAGTTTCTTGCTCCATAGTGTATGGCTGGACAAAGCTTTATCGAATAGTGATTTTGTGGAAATAGGATCACTTGTTAAAATACCCTGAACCTGATCAGCTACACCACACATCTGTGAACATTATGACTGAACAACAGTAATAAGAATCAATATGCTCTCTTGGTACCAGAGCCAATAACACTTGCACACAAGTTCCATTAAGACCTTTTTTTCCAAAATGTTTTAAAGAATGGAATTGCTTTTTTCTCTTAACAAATCTTACGCCATAATGCCACATTCTAGCACTTTACATAATACCCTATTAAATGTCAGGTTTTAAAATGAAGAACACATTAATGGAGTTATACTTGCTGACAAAGAATAAAGGGGTGTGATAAGAGTTACAATACTGCTTCTCCAGAGTAACATTTTAGAAACCTGTTCAGTGCGAGGCACAGCACGTACTGAACAACCACAAAATTTAAGTTTGCAAAGATCGAAAGCTCAGGAGGGGGCTCCGCCTGTTTCCGTTTCCTCTGAAAGCTGACAGCTCTAGTAGACAATGTTTCAACAAGGGGGTGTTCTTGAAGGAAAGCCAGCACCAGCGCCCAGCACCAGAATCCCATCTTTGAGAAACAGAGGGCTGAACTGTCCTGATGTCTCTGAGAGGAAACTGTGAGGTCTGTGGACAGAGGTCATTGCTGAGGGTCCTGCACACTGTGGTAGCAACTTGTTTCCAGCAAGAAAACAGCTCAGGATTGATCCTGGACAGGTATATAAATGCCTGGGTGATCCACACCTTGGGTTGGGACAAATCTCATTTTTAATCTGCTGCTCAGGGTCACACCAATTCTGTGTCTGTATTGTAGGCGCATGGTTTTGTATTTACATGAGACAGTTCTATTAGTGGAGGACCTGGATGGCCTAGAAACAAGTGTACAACTCAGACAGAAGGAGAACAGGCTGAATGCATGACTCTTACTGTACATGGGGAAAGTGCAGCTAAACACATAACAGTGCTTAAAC